GGAGAAGAGCAACTTCACTGGATAAATCTGATGGAAATGTGTGTGATGAAAGTCTGCATTCGAGAGTGTTCAGGCATTCAATAAATTAGTTTAAATTATTGATTCCCTCCAACCTAGCTCTACAACCTGGCTGTGCAAATCCAAAAGAATACATGACTGAGTGTAAGCAGTTTGCGATTGCCAGATCCAGTACTCAAACACATGCATGTATAACTTCAAATTTTAGGTTTTTTTGTTTTACCCTAAAATAATTTAACCAGTATTAAGATAGATAAGTAATCTGGGAAGAAGCTAAATGGGTAATAAAGAGGAACCTGGTATATATCCTAAAGAAGTGAGAGGCAGGACACAGACAGATATATGCACACCATGTTCATCACAGCCCTATTCACAATAGCAAAGGGATGGAAACAACGTAAGTGCCCATCAACTGAGGAATGGATAAACTAACTGTGGTATATACACACAATGAAATACTATGAAACCGTAAAAAGTAATGTAGACTCTGCAAAATACTGAATATCATGGACGGACTTGAGGACATTATGCTGAGTGAAATAGGTCAATCACAGAAGGACAAATATTGTATTAGTTCATTATTGTAAAAAGTCAAGGATATACATAGAAGGAAAACTTTCTTTGTTGGTTACCAAGGATGGGAGGGGACAAAGAGGGAAAATTCCTAGATAGCTCTGGTGGCATAGTGCCTAAGGCATCTGACTGCTAACTAGAAGGCTAGTGGTCCAAACCCACCAGCCACTCCTTGGAAGGAAGATTGGGCAATCTAATTCTGTAGAGACACCACCTCAAGGAGGGGTCACTATGAGCAGAATCAATTCGATGGCAGTGAGTTTGGCTTGGTTTGAGGATTAAACATGTGTGTGTGTGTATATATATATCTTAAAGATTATTAGTGGTTATTGGGGTAAGAAGGAGGAGGAAAGTGAAAGCTTTTATTTTGGGAGTATTGAGTTTATGCTAATAGGTGGTGGGATATTTTGGAAAAGGATAGAAACAATGGTGGCACAACATGAAAAATGTAATCAGCATCCCTGAGCTGTAAATATGGAAGTTGTTGGCAAATGTCTTATTATGCATGTTTTCACCACAATAAAAGTTAAAAAAGAGAGAGAGAGAGAGAGAGAGAGAAACCTGGGATTCAGTTCATGCATTCATTTAACAAATATTTACTTACTGAGCACTTACTATGTACTTGGCATTGTTCTTCACAGTGAGCAAAGCAAAATGAAATCCAAGCTTTCATTCTAAGGCATTTCCAAGTGTGGTAGTAATTGTGAAGGGGGATACAAACATTACACATGAATATGTTTCTCACTAATCATAGTTGTTGTTGTTGTTTTCCATTGAGTTCAATTCCCATAGCTTTCTAATGACTCTTATGTGATGGCAACTCTAAAGCCTCACTGCTATTTGATAGCTACCACTCCTCGGAAGGAAGATGGGGCAATCTACTTCCGTAGTGATACTGCCTTGGAAACCCAGGGAGGGTTCGCTATGAGTTATAGACAACTCAACAGCACATAACAACAACAACTTGTTCAATTATGAGTTAAATTGATTGAGCCCTCACTATATTCTAAGGATATTTTTCAGAGTGTTTATATCCCTTATCTCACATAATTCTTATAATAAGTAAGAGCTATTGCTGTTATTATCCTATTTTACAGATGAAAAAAGCTGAACTTCAGATTGGTTAACAAAGTTTTTCAAGCTATGCAACACATAAATAGTCCTTTTAGAATCTCAAAGTCAATGCTTTACATCACTCTGCTACACAGTTTTTCCAGAAAGTTCATATATTTTCATCCAAGGAATTTCAAAAATAAAAAAGCAGAATTCTTGAATCTGTTGGGTAGCCAGCAGGATTTAGTGGAAAGAGCAATGAGTTGGGGGTCCAGAAAATTGAGCCCTATCTTGGGTCTCCTTCTTGTTATGACTGTTCTGTCAATTCCCACAGCACTGGCTTTACTTCCCACGTCTTTATATTTTACACTATTAGCTCACTATTCAGTCATAGTGGCTGAGGCACTTGACTACTAACCAAAAGGCTGGCGGTTCAAACCCACCAGCCACTTCTTGGAAGGAAGATGGGGCAATATACTTCAGTAGTGACATTGCCTTGGAAACCCAAGGAGGGGTCGCTATGAGTGGGTCTGACTCAACGGCACATAACAACAACAACAACAACAACAACAACATTCAGTCTTATAAGACACCATGGTCCACACATTCCAAACTACTCTATTTGCAGCTCTTTAGATGCATTGCTTCTTAGCTCCATGTCTTGGATACTCTGCCTACGCAGCATGTCTTCCTCTTTTCAAACTGTTTGGGAAAACTCCATTAACTGTCAGATTCAAGTCATACGTGACTTCACAAAGAAACCTTTCTTCTTGACCAGTCCTGGTAAAGTGTGATGGCTGGTTGGTTTGTTTGTTTTTCTTTTTCCTCCTGTAATACCCTGCATAGACTTCCATCACAGCACCTGTAATACTTCAAAGCACTAATTTATTTATATTTCTGTGTCCTCTCCTAGACTGGAAGCTTCTGGAAGGCAAGGGCCATTTAATAAATTATAAATTATAGTTGTCATTCAAAAAATGTTTGATTGTTGAATGAATAAATGATAATCCATGAGTCATACTCTGAAAATACACACATACACACACATATACACTCTCTAGTGGTCCACATTTAAATGGCCTTGATTATTATATATATATGAAATATAGTTAAAAAAAAAATACCACTTTGAAAAAACCCATTTAGTTGTACTATAATATAAAGGTCCAATTAACAAAACAACCCTTCTTCAATAAAACATTATGACATTGGTAGTTTATTATGTACAGAAAAAAAAGAAATATGTATTCATACACAAGAGATATTTTTATCTTTTGAATTTTAACCACTCGGAAAGCTTTAGGTCACTGAAACGGTAATCTTACTATAATGTTTATTATAATCATAAACATGAGAAGTTACGCATCATAAAAGAGACTTTACCAGACCACGTAAGTAATTCTGGCTACCATGAAAATAAAAAAGAAACATTAAAAAATATAAAAATAAAAATGTCAAATAAGACTTTATTGCACAAACTTGTTGAACTATCAGACCACAAGTGAACTGCAAACTCTTTTGCAAACTTTGCCGTCTCAAAGGAAAAAATAACCCTAAAAGGAAGGATATAAAATCTCACATATGGCACTGTACATGCTTTAAATTTTTATTGATTCACGTATCAGAAGTTTGTATATCTCAGTACAGATTAGCCAAAGTACTAAAATTTCATTCTCCAAAATTCATAAGAATTAAGATATTGTTGTTAAGCCTTTTCATTCCTTCACTATTGAATGCAAGTGAGAAAAAATTTAAGCAAAAGCTACAAAGACAAATGATAGTAGTTAGAGTCAAAAGGGATCTCCCAAAACCCAGAGCAAGAAACTCTGGACTCTGGTTTTCCTGCACTTTTGACATATAACAGTGAAACATCAGAACAGTTTTTTTCACTTCATCTAAATTATTTATGGAGTTTTCTTTTAAGAAACCATTTTTTTCTAAAAAGAAAAAAGAAAGAGAAAGGATTTTTCTCCTTTAAAGAAGATGAGGAGGGGCAACATATATAATTCACAGAGTTTACAAGACAATGCATCTCAGACCTATAATTTACAACAGGAGATAGTAATGGAGAAATCCAAGCTGATAACTGAGCCTGTTCTCTATGCTTTTTTCATTAGCTCTTTTCCGTGTTGTTTACTATGTTGTCCCCCATATACATGAAAGAAAATTGACTGCTAAAGTTAATTTTCAAAAAGTTAATTCTGTAGAACTCTGGGAAGTGATCCACAGAAAGCTTCCAGGCTATAGTTGTAAAAGAATTGGTCATCACAATATAAATACTACCTGTTTGAAATTCAAATAGAAAACAAAAAGGCTTATAAAAGAGTGAGCAGCAGGGAGTTCTGTTAATAAAACTTATAAACATAGGAAAGGAAACTTTAGTACCCAGATACATTAAAACACTCCCCCAGGAAAACTAAAGTGGGAGACACTTTGCATTGACTTGGTTTTTAAAGATTTATTTTAGATATTAAGTCTTAACAGCCTTTTTTCTTTTTTCTTTTTTCATTCTTTCTACAGAAGCAATCACTTTTCTTTTGGACTTCTTTCAGAAAGAAATACAATCTCAAAATATTAACAGAGGATGCAATTCACTTAAATTATGCAACTGGAATTCCACAGCTGGCCTGTCTGTCTGGCTCACTGCTGAATGAACAGTGTCAGAAAACCTTTCCAATAATAACGCCCTCATTCCTGACAACGGGTAAATCTCTCAAACTTAGGCTCAACTTCAGAGGCTCATTAGCCATCGCCAGCGAATGGTGGTGGGGTGACAACGCCGGGGCAGCGGCAACCACGCAGCCAAAGCAACCAGCCCACCCGGAGCTGAGGATTGACACGATCCATATCACCAGTTCCCAGTGATAACTATTTGTTAGTTAATATGCACAGGATGATCAGGTATTCCTCCAGATCTCATCCTAGTGTCACTATAGCCATTTAATTTCAATCTCCGGCTCTTAAACAATTAAGCAGCACGCTCACAGCACTTTTGAAAAGAAAGACTTTAAATTCTAATCTAAAGCATGATCTGCAGCTTTTTACCTTCTCTGATTTCTTGAATCTGGCCTACCTAAATAATTTTCATCTTTTCCTCCCCCCACTCCATCCCCCAAGTGTGAGCGTGAATCTGAATTACAAACAGTTAAACCTGAAGGTCACTTCACAGCAGCATTCCAACATGCTCCCCCAGAGACGCTGCATGGCAACAATAAAACAAAGCCCTTGCAACCACCTGTAATAATCTGTCTGCTCAACCAGCAATCCGAAAAGTCCTGAAGCTACACAAGGTAGACATTTTCTGCAGCTGGTTTAACGTGTACATTGTGCCCAGTTGCCAGCTCGCCTCCTCTTACCTTCACGTTAGTCCGGAGTGCACAGTAACATGCAAAGAACATTGCAGTAAATAAGGAGCATATGGACCGGTATTCAGCTTCTCACCACAGTGCAAGCCCCACACACACGATCCTGGGCATGTGCTACTAAGGAGCATCCGTTCCCTCTGTCAGTTTGAAAATGCATTGATCTCTGTTTTCTCTGACTACAAAACGACATGTCTTGAAGGCACTGAGTGAGAGCTCAAAATCTCTTCATTGGCTATATATAGCATTGTGCCCAGTAATTTCAATTAGCCGAGAATTCAGCATCTGAAAGTTAAGACCTCAGTTGCTTTTCCTTCTAGCATTTTAAATCACTGGGTTTGAAAAAAAAAAAAAAAAAAAAACGGGAGAGGGGGAATGAGCTCACCCAGGAAGGAGGGGGGAAAGGTGAAGAATTGAAATTTAACCAATGAGTTACTTATATCTCTGGAGAGCCTTGGTATTATCCTATTAGATACTTTACAATGAGATTCTATCGAGTAGATTGTAAATGAAGAGGAAGTCCTTTTCCCCTTAGAGGTTTAATAAGGGCTTTGCACTATCTTCCAAGCTATTCTGATGCAGCACCCTGTTTGGCAAATACTACAAATCACTGCAAACACATCACATTCTGCTCCTCTGTGTGGAATAGGACCAGGACGAAAGGATCACTGCCTCACAAAGTCCCCTAAAATGTAAGCTGTGTTCCCCTGGGGTGATATGCAGTTACATGGCTGAGAAGTACCACCTTCTCTTACTTCACTGCCTTATAGTATCCATTATTTTCTAGGGATATTTAAAGTTGCTAGGTTCTCTAATAAAACAACGCATTCAATTTTCCGAAACTATGCTTTATTGGTAAATGACAATAAATAACAGAGGACTGGATTGGAATGAAAACAGAGGATTCCAGGAGATAACATAACCTTAGATTCATAGCTACTGTTGTTGGATGTACAATGTTCAGCTGGCTCTGAAAGGGAGAGAGCAAAAGAAAAATAAAAGCTCCTGACCCCAAGAATCCATAAGTGGGGGGGGGGGCTTAATTCTAAATCATCGTCAGATCCTACTTGTCATTCCTGTCAGGCACCGGATGCTGCAAATTAACTCAATTTTTACTGAGCCAAAAAGACAAAGTCCAATTTAGGATTCTAAACTCTTATTTCTAGCCTTGGGAAGCCCTAATGCTCAGCTAGAACTGTAAAGCTATCTGGCAAAATGCAAGCAGAAATGAACAGTTCTCACTGCAGCAAAAATAGTAGGAGGAAAAAGAGTAGCTATGTCTCTGCCACAATGCTCCCCATCAGCTTACAGCAACAGGGAAGATCAGCATAACTCACTAGAAAAAGCTGCAGTGACTTTTAAGGTTTTTCTTTAATATGTTTTGCATAAACCACCTCGCCTCTGGAACCTGCAGTAGTGATAAGGCATTGCCAGAGTCACTGGGCATTTCTCCTGGGCTATGAAGTGAGGCAGCGTTAAGAGGAACCAATGTATTTAAGGGAGAGAAAGGAAGAAGAAAAGCAGGATTTTCTATTTCTCTCTTAATGACAAGCATTCAGAAAGTGTCGTCAGTTCTGACTAAATAGCTATTTTGGGCTGTCATTGTTTGTACCTTTTTTTAGGAAGGAAAAAGGCAATCTTGTCTTAAGCAGGAGATTCTTTAGCAACTTAAGAGAAGCCAGCCACTTAATTTGATTCCCAGTTCCGTCTGTCATATGAATCTAGGTAATTATAAATCACAAGCACTTGCAACACGAGGGACTTCCAGGACATTAAAAAAAAGTCGACATGGATGCCCAGTTCTCATCATCCCACAACTTTTATTCATGGCTTTAAATGCAGAACCAAGCATTTCAGTTAATAATACTTTCTTTTCCTAGGGTCATAGCCAGTTACATTTCCTGCAGCTCTTCTCAATAAAGGGACCCAAACATAGCAACTCAGTACCATGGAAAACATCGAAACCAAAAACCAAACTCACTGCCATCGAGTCAGATACAACTCATAGCGACCCCTCCTTGGGTTTCCAAGGCAGTATCTCTACGGAAGTAGATTGCCCAACCTTCCTTGCGAGGAGTGGCTGATGGGTTTGAACCTCCAGCCTTCTGGTCAGCAGTCAAATGCCTTAGGCACTACACCATCAGAGCTCCTGTAGAAAACACAGGAGGATTAAAAAATGCCTTTCTCTACTGGGAGTTCAAAGAATTAAAAAAAAAAAAAGGTCAACCTGGAAACAAATATTGTTAATACTTTTTTTCCATTAGGTGTGAAAAAATCCCCAAACTTTATACCTTTATTATTGTTATTATTTTAATCGACCCCCGCATATTTGTGGCCAGGGAGAGAGAACAAAAGGAAGTTCTGGAAAATGTAAATGTCAGAGTAGTTCATAGGCAAGGATTAAACAAAAATAAAGTTGCAGGTGAAAAAAACATACATAGGTTTCTCTGTCATGGCAATCAGGGAGGACTGATTGAGCTTCAAAAAAAGTTTCAATGTGTATATGCATTCTAAAGAAGGGCTCTTAGAATTGCAGACCCATTTAAAAATCTTGCCTTCACTTATCCATCCCATGGAACACAAATACAAACATGAACTCTACCTGTAAATTTACTGCCTAATTTTCGTTATTGTACTAAGTTAACTGACTTTTGTAAATACAGGAAACAAGGCACTAATTATAGTGACAATTAGGAACCTTGGTGTAGCAATCGTTAAGCATTCAGCTGCTAAGTGAAGCACTATGGTTCCAAATCACTCAGTGGCTCTGCTGGAGAAAACCAAAAAAGCAAACTCAAAGACCTGGCTATTTGCTCCTGAAGATTACACCCTAGGAAACCCTATGAGGCAGTGCTACTCTGTTATATGGTGTTGCTAAGAGTTGAAATTGATTCAAAGGCACATAACAAAAACAACAGTGTCAATGCCTTACTAAAAAGTTAGTCTTCTATATTTTAGACAAAGGCTTCACTAGGGCAGTGTATCTACTGGAAGAATGAGATTTGCTATTGTAGAAGGAAATTATAACTGGTTACATATTTTTGGAGGCAGTAGAGTAAAAAGTGCCAACACTTAACAAGGGAACAGCCCTAGAAAATCACTTCATGTGAGACCCTTTGTTTTACCATTTGTAAAAGTGGACTTTACAAAATGAGGATAATATTTAACTCATAGCAGCACTAAGAAGATTAATGATTAATCACTCCATCAAATTGCAGTCTAGATGGATCAAAGATTTAAGTATAAAAATTAAAAGCAAAAACATATTAGAAGAAAACATTGATTTGGTTTTGTTTTTATATAATATTGCAGTGGAGAAGCCTGAAACCATACAAGAAAAGATAGACAAGTGTGACTTTATAAAATATAAAACATTTGCTTGACTAAATTACATACAATGAAAAATGACAAATGAAAAATGAAAATATTTGTAACATATTTAATAGGGAATTTTCTTAGAAAGAAATTTCATAAATCACTAAAAAACCCCATAAAACTTAATGAAAAAAAAAAAAAAAGGCAAAGAACATAGTGGCAAAAGACAAAAAGGCCATAAAGCACATTAAAAATTATCAACCTCACTTGTATTTAAAGAAAAGTTTATGTTGAAAACATATTTTTAATTGATACTGTCAAGTAGTTAGGAGCTCTGGTAGCGTAGTGCCTAAGGCACTTGACTGCTAACAAGAAGGCTGGCGGTTCAAACCCACCAGCCACACCTGGGAAGGAAGATGGGCAATCTACTTCCGTAGTGATACTGCCTCGGAAACTCAAGGAGGGGTCGCTATGAGTCGGGTCCGACTCGATGGCACATAACAACAACAACAACATCAAGCAGTTATGGCAATACATTATTGGTAAGAAAAAAAAAAAAAAACTTCTTATAAGGTAATTAGGAATTATCTTTCACATATTTTAAAACTGAAAAACCAAATTCACTGCTTTAGAATTGATTCTGATGCATAGTGACCCTATTTGGGTTTCTGAAGAGGTAAATCTTTACGGAAGTAGATTGCCCTATCTTCCTTCCACGGAGCAGCTGTTGGGTTTGAACCACCAGCCTTCTGGTTAGCAGTCAAATACCTTGGGCATTTAGACCAGAGCTTCTAATATTTTAAAAAGACTCTCTTTTGTGATGTGGTAATCCAACTTCCAGGAATTCAACCCAGATATATACAACCGATCTTCTTTATTCATGGATTTCTTATTTGCAAATTTACTTACTCACTAAACTTTATTTGTATTCTCAAAAATCAATGCTTGTTGCACTTTTGTGGTCGAGTAAAAAAATAAAAAATTGATTCATCTGACGCATACCAGCTGAAATCTTATAAGCTGTCAATCTTCCTTCTTATTTTGACTTTCATACTGTATGTAAGTGTCCTTTCCATGATCTACATATTGTCATGTTTTACACATTTTTGTGCTTTTGATTGATGATTTCACTGTTTAAAATGTCCCTCAGGTATAATGCTAAAGTGCTGTCTAGTGTCCCTAAGCCCAAGAAGGTTGTAATGTGCCTTATGGAGAAAATACTTGGGTTAGATAAACTTCATTAAGGCATGAGTTGTAGTGCTGATGGCCATTGATTTTGATGTTAATGAATCAACCATGTATATATTAATTGTCTTAAATGCACACACAAACCATAATACAAGGTTACATATTGATCAGCTGACAAAAATATTGTTGACCAGAGGTTCACAGGAACCTAATCCTGCATTTTTCCTAGGAGCAACGGTTCAGTATTAGCTAATTCACTATTGAGGCAACATTACAGAACTTAACTACTGTAAATAACAAGAATCAGCTGGTTTCTACCAGAAGACCTGAACATTACCTGGTTTCTACCACCTATCACTTTGGGATCACAACAGATGGTACTGGATAGAATGGGAGAAAAAGGTAGAAAAAAATTCAAATTCATAAAAAGTTATAGAGACTGGTGGATCCACCAAGTCTGTGGCCCTTAGCTACCCTTCTAACTTTGAAATTAAGCCACTCTCAGAGATCACCTTCCAGACACATAAAGGACAGGCCTATGAAGTAAACCATGACACCTAGAGGAACATGCTCCTCAAAACAATCAACAATAGAGACCAAAAGGGAAGCATTTGCCCCAAAGCAAAGGTAACTGGTTGAATGGAAAGGAGTAACCCAGGGTAGAAATAAGGTGAGTGCTGACATATTGTGGGGTTTGCAAGCAATTTCACAAAACAATCTATGTATAAATTGCTGAATGGAAAACTAATTTGCTCTGTAAACTTTCACCTAAACCTCAATAAAATATTAGGAAAAGAAAAAAACAACTGTA